GTGTGTGCGTGTGTGCTCAGTCTAATATATATCTATTATTATCTACTTATTGTAAGCAAAGATATATAATTATAGTTATTATGCATGTATAATATTTCTTCTGTTCTTTTTCAAAGTACATGTTAAGTTTATGTGAAAGCAATGTCAATCAAGTAGAAAAATAAATGAATTACCTTGACTGTCAACAAGATCTTATTGTCCAGGGAATGCCTGTAAACTCTAAGATCGTTCGGCATAAATTGAGGAAAGTAAATGTATCTCGCCCCGTTGCGATCGACTCCTAAAACTGTTTCAAACTGATTTTCCCATGGTTGGTTTACCATATCTTCCTGAACTGTTTTTCTAGTATGCTGTAAAAATTATGACAGTTTTTAATTTGATAGTGCCTTGTTTTTAAGATTACATTACGAACTCACCATGATTGTATCACAGACGGTTTTCAGCAACCAGACCCTTTGTTTGAAGCTAAGATCTTCAAAGTCTTTACCATCGAGCATTGAAGTCTCGGGAAAGATGTTCCAAAATTCTGGCTCAACGCCGATAGTTTCTAGAACCTAAAAATCTTTGATCACATTTCTGATCACTGTGGTGAATGTTATCATGTGTATATGTATAATGTGTATATGTGTTTAAAATATTGCCGATATTCGATGCAAAGTTATAAATTATTATCGATTCACAACGCGAACTTGCGACAATACATACTTTGGTCACGTCTTCGTGCTTCGCGCGATAAATTTTGAACCAGCTCGTGATTTTGTATGTGAGAATATTGGTCCAAAAGTCATACGGCATCGGTGGTACCTTGCGCAGCTTTGCTTTGGTGGTCGGGGAACTACAATTTTAAAATCAATTTTTGTATAATAATGTTCTTTATGACATAATTAAATTCAGTGTTAGATTTAATATACCTCAGCAAACACGTCATGATGTTTGCTAGCTGTTTAGAGGCCTTCGGTATCAACAGCATCCTTTCCATTTCGTATAAAGATAACTGAGGTATATTAAGAGATTCTTTCGTTAAA